CTAGTGAATCAAATTCAATGATTTTGATACCATTAGATGCGTCTTGACTAGACCTTTCTAATGGTATCAAATTCATTCAATTTGGTCCACTGCATGCGGAGATATTTGCATTTCTTTAAACTGAATATTTTTTCTTCGCCTTTCGTCGCCAGGTTCAAAGTTTACCGCAATTCTGCTAGTATTTTAAATTTCCGATGGTATATTCAATTAATGGAAGGCAATCTCTTTCGTCACCATAAATCTAGCATATGCAAGTTAATTTTGTAAAGATCGTGAAATAATCTTTTCTTATTTGTACAAATTTTTTCTAACGCTAAATTCTATATTTAGGCAAAATCGTTCTAAATTCTATATTCAAGTAAAATGATAGAAGCCATATTCTAACCGCAGGTGTTATTGAATCTTTGATTAGGCTAGATGCAGATGAAATGTGATTAGTAGCGGTAGACGGATTTCCTATGCTAGAAGTGTTTGTATTCTCGTTACTATTGAATGTGGCCGTTAGATTATTATTTAAATTACTACTACTACTACTACTATTATTAAAACTAATATTATTACTGTTATTATTTATGTTCGAATCGATATTATTCTTATTTTTATACGGCGGTGGATTATTACCAATGCAACCAGCAACGGTATCGAATGTGAATCCTTTGTCTTTAATGGCATCAATTACATTTGGTGCTATATTCACGGATGTTTCGTCTGTATCATGCTGAAGAATAATAAAACTATCGGTTTTGGGATTGGCTCTTGAGATTGGACCATAGATATTTGTAAAGTGGATAGTCGTTTGTGGTTGTTTATTTCCAGGTTCTGGTCCAAGTCGCCAATCATTTGAATCAATGTTCCACAATACGATTGTGTAATTCAGGGATTGCATAGTTTTGCGGCATACATCAGCGCACTCACCAAATGGTGGTCTAATTTATAAAATTTAGAGTCATTTTTTAATCAAAAGTCTAATACAGTAGCAATAGATTAACATGCCCACCATCAATGAAAAATAATATTACCGCATATAAAAAGGAGTAACTCCAATAGCATCATAAACATTTTGCTGGTCCTGCTTCATCTCTGCTATTTGATCCGCTTGCGACAAAGTATTCAAATGTGGATGTGTATTTGTATGCAAAGCAATTTGATGTCCTGCATCATAAACGGCTTTTAAAGTATTAACTCCTCCATCTTTTTTTATCGATACCCCTAATACAAAAAAAGTCGCTTTTATCCCTTTGGATTTTAATGTTTGCAAAAGTTTTGGCGTGAATTTACTTGGTCCATCATCATAAGTTAAGGCTACCACACCTGGTCTACTACAAGAATTTATGATTGCATTCTGAGAGTATATAATCGGAAAATAATGAACAAAAAATATTAAAAGTTTAAGGAAAATACTATAACTCATCGTTTTAAACGGATAAAACAAGAAAAAGTTCACAAAAAGCTATTTTTATATTCCACGAGACACAAAATGGTTTAACGTATCGGTATTTAGATATGTTTGTATTCCATGTAAAAATTTTTCTTTGTTTGCTTCGGAAAAAAAAAATGAAATTTCACGGCGAAGTTGATGCGTTTAGTTAAGCCGTAAAAGGCATCATCTATCTCTTTACTTGCTCTATCAAAAAAAATAAATTATATTTACTACTTGTTTTGTTAGTTAATTACGTACATGTACATGTATTTGAAACTTGCAATTTATACATTGCATCAATATGAATAGAATTCTCGTGTCCTATTGCCAGCTGCCATGAGGAATGCAAGTGCATAAAGGAGAATAACACGTGTACTTAAAGGATTTACGATAGGCACGTAATGGTAATACCTTTTTCTGACATAATAAGCAACTTTCGTAACACCAGGTACTGGCCTGTGATACACGTATAACTGCAGATTCTTCTATAATTTATAAATACGTACGTATGTTGGTGGATTTTGGATTAACATTTTCGGAAATTTTTCGAGGCAATAAATATTTTGAGTACATGATCACAACAAACTCGTAAATGTGGGACTGCTATCACAGACATTTTCACAAATCAATTAAGTTCTGTCTGAAACGTTTTAGAAATAATAAATAAATATACACTTTACATGTACTGTATTTATATACACAAAATGCAATGCACGTCACAACAAAGAATCTCTAACGAGAGCAAATAAAATATTTATTGGTGCAGCTAAGTTAACGATAATAACGAAAAAGTAGTATTCTAATAGTCCGCTAAAGAATTTCGTGTTATCGTTATTGAAAATTTGTAAGTCGGAATTTTGCATATGACAAATTGAGCATTTACTTTGTTGGTAAATTTTAAAAGCTATCTTTTTTGATTTCTGATAGACGCGCCTCTAGATTCTACATACATGTACATGTACATTACAAAACCCAAATATGAATAAGTTGTGTTGAAAAAATGCAGCTTATACATGTACATGTATAATTTTGACGTAGACTGCAAAAACGTAACATGTTGTACTTACCAAACATACGTATACATTACGTATACGTATAGTTTTGTACACATTTTCGTTTTTTTTTAACTTTCTTTTTTATTTAGATTTGTACGTACTGTAATTTGTAAATCGAATTGAAGACAATAGCAATTAACTGTTTTTATGCATATTACATGATAAAATCATTGAGATAATGCCGCTGAAATAACTGCCTTTATCAGATTACTACCATTAAACGACTATGAATGCAGTTATTGGATTTAGCGTTCTTCGCGCTTAGAAGTGATAGATAGTCTGATTTGCTGAAAAATAGTACACTAAGGAAATAAATTTCGTATAGCTACAGAAATAAGTGTTACTGATTAAATTATTGCATTAACAATTTAAAGTGTTGATTATCGCATTGAAATTACAAGCTCGTTCCTGTTTATTCAATATAAAACACCTCATTATAGATCATCAATATCTAAATTCTGATACTGATACATGAACGATTTCTCATATTTTTGAGCATTGTTTCGAAAATTAAATAATAATATCCATCATATATTGTGTTAAGAAAAAACTTGATCTTTATTATTTCGCTATGATTGTACAACGAGCGTACTAAATCAATAATAAATTAACACATTTTCAAGCTTAAAACTAGTCATTTTTATCGGTGATTTACTAACAAGGAATACCATTTTGAATTACGAGTTCACATTGTTGCCTAATCAATTGATTATCATCGAATTTGGGATTAGGGTAGGGATGAATCGATTCTGAGACTAAGCTGAATAAACAAGTTAAGAGTAACTTTCATTTCTTTATATGAGCGAGTTTATTCAATGAGCCATTGCCAATCAAGAATAAATGTATTATTGATGATTCCACCATAAAGAACTTTAATGTATCGTTTACTCCAATATATATTGTGTGCTTTTCTGTATTCTTAATTAGATAGTAGCCAATGTTTGTATGCCAAGGTTACTTATAGGAAAGTTTTCTATCACACAGTTCCCTTAATATGTTGCTTTTGTCGATTGTCATCTCGTAAAGCTTCATTGCCAATTCAGATTTTCCAAACTTTTGTCAAATAGTACAATAGTATATATCTTGCTTATTTCAAGCCTGCAGACTTTATCAATCATCTAGGAGACTCGTTGTGTCGGATAATTTGTGCAAAAGAGATGACGGTGATGTTGAAATGCTTCGTTTTCAACTTCAGGATTATTACCTGGTGATGTAATTTCTCAAATGAAAATCGAAGCACAACATGATAAAAAAACTATCGTGGTGAAAGCACTCTAATTCACTTTCAGTTCAAATAATAATTATTTAGTCTCGTATCTGCTTATTTGATGATAATTATAATACTTCACTATATTTATTCTTGAAAAATGTTAGGATTCTCCAGAAAACAAACTAATTACTGGTGAACTTGGCGAATTTATCTACTCGCACCTATCAGAAAAGAACTGGCAACTGAATTCTTTGCATTATCTTTAAGAAAAAGCATCAAAAACTAAAATCCACTCAGATGTAATTTATTCCAGTCAAACCTTTACTAAGCAAAAAAATAATTTCAATTCACATTTCATATTACTGTAATTATAAATTTATTTTGAATATGGGTATCAGTTTGTATGTTCCACATAATCCTAATACATGTAACGATAAATGTAAAATACTATTGCTAGTTGATATTATTTTTATTAATTATTACAAATTTTCTATGCTGATACAAAAAACAGACTCACCCCCGAAAATGGTTTCTGGATATATTTGCGACGCTTTAATTAGCGCTTCAAGCTGAATTTAGGCATCTGTTTCCTTTTCTTCCTTTTCTTGTATCAGATTTGTTTTGTCGACAGATCAAAAATTTATGCCACCTCATTGGTTAATGAACTATCCAACTAAAAAATAATAGTTTTAAAAAACTAACAGATAATATTATTCTTTGTGATAAGATCGATCAAGTTACTGGTCAGATTTATAACAAAGTACACATAAAAGTTATAAGCATTAAAAATGAGGTACTTTTTATATAGTAGTCATCAAAGTTTGCATCATACAAAAATAAAATTAGAAATTCAATAACATTACATACAAATATCTGAAACAAACAAATTCCAACACATATTATTTACCAAATTTTTCAAAATATGTAAATATAATCCTTTACTTAGTTAATAATCAGTAAATTAAAATAATAATAATTGATACAATTTTACATAATGCATTTTTTGACTGTTTATGATGTAAATAATTTAAAATTGATAGTTAAATAAAAAATGTATGAAATTTAATAATCTATTCTTTATCACTCTATATATCCTCCTTTAGGTTTGATTACATTATTTATTTATTCATTCATTCAGACATACTTTCAATTAGACTATTTAAAAAGTCATGATCTGTTTCAATCCATATTTTTGAATAACTTCTCATAATTCATCTTGAATGAACTGGATTTTTTAATCTTCTCAAATGTATATCCATCTCATTCCAGAAATGTTCTATATGGTGCATAAAAAAAGGCATCAAAAATTTTCATTTTACAAAATGTATAAACTTCTTTACTAAATACAAAAATTCAATCTGTAAATATGATAGAATAGGTCTTTCTGAGTATATTCACAGATTAAATTTTGTATTTACTTCTTAGTAAAGAAGTTTATACATTTTGTAAAATGCAACGTTTGATGACCTTAGATTTTATGTACCATAAAATTGAGATCAGAAGATTATGGCGACCATTCTAATATATCAATATCATTATTATAAAATTATTGCTCTGTTAAATTAGCTGTGTGTTTCAGATCATTAAATGATATTATTCTTATCAGAATCATAATAATTAATAGTTTTTAACAAGTCATTATTCAAAATTTCACAGTATAATTCTTTATTCATGATGTCAGAAATGCGTATGATGTTACCTACGCCAAAGAAAAAAAAGCAATCCCAGATTAATATTTTCATTTTTGCATTTTTAATAATTTTCATGATTGTCTAATCCTTATATCATAAACTTAGAATTGTCTGACCAAATTATGTTCCAATCATTCACTGTCCAATTCTTGTATTTATTAGCACAGTTTTTTTAAAATATAGTTTTTTCATTTAATCCAGCAGAAAAACCATTTCTACGTAAAGTTTTTTTTTTACATTAATTTTATTATTAGTTTGTAATTTTTCTGAATCGATATAGTATTAAAACATTTACCACTCGAAATATATCATATAATATCACAGCTTATAAAAAATCGTGGACGGCCAAATTTTGGTAAATCTTTTACAGAACCAGTAATTTCTATTTTTTTTAAGTCGGACAATAGAAGATTGTACAATATTTCCTTTTAATGCGATATAATGGGAAGAGAATTCTTCTTGAAGAGGAGCAGAAATTCATAAGCTTTGTTCGATTCGATAGTGATACAACCTATATTGATTTGACGATATATTTATTAAAATGAAATGAAATACAAATAGATATAACTTTTATATATTATTCGAGTTATGTTTTGTTATAAAATTTGGAAATTTTATATGGATTTACTTTTGAAAGAACAAACAGTCAAAACAAACGCATCACTAAATATTACATTTTTGTAAATTATATATTTAATTATTTCCAATAATGATTAAAATGAATTTTAAGAAGCTTCTATTTTCCCTTTTTGTATATATTTATTTGCACGATATACACACCCCTACAGTATATTACCGGAAATTTCAAAAAATGAATCTGTCATTTTAGAACCCGATATCTCAACATCCAGTGATTCCATTCGAACAAAGTTATCACCATTAGATTCGTATAGTCGAGACGAATCTAATGGTGATAACTTTTGTTCGAATGGAATCACTGGATGTTGAGATATCGGGTTCCAAAATGACAGATTCATTTTTGAAATTTCCGGTAATATACTGTAGGGGTGTGTATTATCATTATTATTCGGGAAGTCCACAGACAGTGCTTTGGATCACGTGGCCTTCAAATTTTCATGCTCACGTGGTCACAGAAATCGACGTTAAAAGTTATTTTATCATTTGGATTAGGGTTAGAGCTAAGGATAATATTATTAGTACTTCTATCACATTTTTTATTTTCTTGTGTCAAAAGCCACGTGATTAAGCACTGTCCGTAAACTTCCCGTATCGGTATTATTTTTTATTTACGTGATGCAAAACATTATGACGATCACTGTATGTTTGACTTATCTCACATGAAATTTATCATGTGAGATGTTTTGATTGGCTGGCATTTGTTATATATGTAATTCTGATAAACATTCAGCATTACATGCCGGATTTCTCATCTCGGAAATAAGATGATAAAATTGAGCAGTGAGAAGAAGTTCGGAAGATCGAGAAAATCCGGCATTGTACGACCATTATATACTCACGCATTTACTCGCTGTTCACAAAACTCACGTCATTTTTTGCAAATTAAATCAATGATACTAGGTACGTAAATATTCGTATTGTTCTGCTTAGCATTATGAATAGAAACTAACCCAACCTTTATGATTTACCGACCAACAAAAGCGGAAAGCTGATAAAGCATTCAATTACTATTATGTACGTTACCAAACCCACCATCATCTAATATATGGAATATCGGAACTTTGTTACAGAAGGTAAGAAGTTGTGTGGTGGTTACATTGTGATGTAGACAACGTTTAAGGAAATTTTACTCTGTCTGGTCGCAAATTTGGAGAAGAGGAAAGATAAGGGGAATGTCATATTAGTACATGACATCGGTATAACTGTACGTTATTGTGTTTCTAGCTATATTACAATAAAAGAATTATATTTCAACAAAAAAGTATCCAAAGTTTCTTGTTTCATTGCAGATATGAGTACGAGCAAGTAGGCTTCAGAGGACTTGATTTTCTGTCTCCTTAGAAAACTCAACTGGCTGTTGTGCCAGAAATTTAATGAGCTTGTTCAGGTGAATCTTGGTCTCAGAGAATGATATTTTGTGTTCGCCATCTACATCTGTATCACATGCATCTTCGTCATCCACTTCTGAACGTTGGGCTAAATCCAAGATGTGTGTTTCATCCAACTCCTCCTCAAGAGGAATATCCTCTATATCGTCAAAATAGCAGTGAGCAATAACTTGCAAAGTTTGATTATTTTCCATTCTTTCAATTACGTTTAATGTCTCACGTTCTACGGCAAGAATATCCTTAGATGGGTTGCCGAAATCAGCATCATCACTCTGATCCGAAAAAGATATCCAAGTGGAAGAATTCTCGTATGATGCCAAAATTATACCAGCTTTCCAAGCTGTTTCGACTTGCTGAATTGCTTGAAGAACATTGACCTTTCCTGAAAATTCAATGCCTGAGTCAAATTTGTGAAGAACATGTCATAAGTACAATCGTTTGTAATGAGCTTTAAAAAGTGCGGATGATCCCGGCATCTATGGGTTGCAAATGAGCAAGGGAGAAATGGATTTTAATGTGGGGTAGTTCGTCGGGTCATCTACAATATAACAAGACGCGTTATCCACCAAAAGGAGAACTTTCAGATCATGGATTCTAATACGAGCTTCAAAATTGGACAAGAATTTTTGGCCGTGTATTAAATAGGAGATGTTAGAAAGAAATAAATTAAATGTATAATAAAAATTATACCTGGAAAATATATGTCTCGTCCAAGCTTTTTATTATTATAATAATTTACAGGTAGAATGGACACATAATGTCAGTGCTTGCTACATTTGAAGTAAAAGAATAGTGATACGCATTTTATCTTCTTTCTTCCTGATCGCGATCCAGTAACAAGAGTAATATTTGGATCCATCCTATTGAACAATCCTGTTTCATCCGCGTTGTAGATATCTTTCAAATGATATTCTGCCAGTAGCTCTTGGAGATTTTGGCGCAATTGAAGTAAAGATTCTAAAGGAGTGCTTTCTGATTCATCTTGAATATGATATTGACGTAATCCTGCACGTTAAGGATATATTGTTTGCTTAGTTGCCTTGGTGTGAGCAATACAAGAAGTATCATCAATGTGTTGCCACTTCACTTCTTTGAGAATTTTCGATATATTAGACCGATTACACTCATATTCTTTGCAATCTCTTCATCACGAAGTTTAGAATAGCTTGCTTCAACTGAATTGCTTTATTTTGGACTGAAAGAGAGGCTTGTTATTGAAAAAGAAAATTGGTTTTGTTTTTTACTAGGGGCATGTTAAAAAAAACTCATTTTTGTTCTTTTACTGGAAATGTTAACTTTGCCCATCGCTATCACATGAGAATATTGATATGAAGGTGATAAACTCGAACATTTTTTAACTAATTGTCATAATGGAACATAATAAGAATCTATGTGCGAGTGATAAAGTAGAGATTTATTAAGGTAGGTGATAATTTCAAGCAAAACTCATTAATGGTTTAAAAAATTGGGTGATAAGATCGCGATTGTGAGAAATCGCATCTACTTTTGCCACGTGTTATTGGGCCGTGACTTTTCTGATACATAAAAAAAATAAATCCAATACGTATAACTTTTTACATTACTTATTTGTTTTCTAACAAAATTACGTGATGGTTGTGTTTAGTTGTCCTGAACATAACAAAATCATAGTTACATGCGACTGATAATATATTTGTTCCATGAATTATATTTCAAAAGTTTTATGTAACTTATCTTGGATATAATATAAAGCTAATAAATTATAATTATATTGGTTTGCAAAATTGATAGCAGTATTCATAGTTCTTTTGTGAAACTGTTGTCGTTTACTTACTATATTTATTGTAACTATATTCAATAATTTAACGTTAATGTATGCCTGTAAAAAAGTATACAAAAAAGTCTGATATATTTGTAAAAGATCACTTTACAGACATACGCATATAAACACGAAATCGAGTATTTAAATGCATAAAAATGTAGGACAAACAGACCTTACAACTATTTACTGTCTGTTACTTTTGTAAAACACATCTAAAAGTGACTTTTTATGTCTTTTACAAGCATATCAGACTTTTTTACAGATTTCTATACCTAACGATAAACACTCATGTTCATATACATGTATAAAGCACGTTACAAAAACATTTTTATAAAGTGAACTCGGAAATATGGAATCTAAACTTCCGAGCACTCATGTTTGTAGTGAATGTCTCGATTGTCAAGAAAATAGCTACTGTAATGAGTGTCAATCTGTTGTTATACTCATGATTGTAGTAAATGTGCGCGTTGTCAAGAAAGACATCTCTGCTCTGAATATTTATATTATCATCATCAACTTTACAAAACTGGTCTAGCGAAATAAAGAAATTGACAGTCTAATAAAAGAATAACATCTTTCGAATAGATTTCTTTGAAATATTAGCAATGTTAAATATCATGCAAAAGGGAGTTTTGGAACAATTTATAAAGCATCGTTGTATAATTACAACGGGTGGGCTCATGGAAAAAATAATTTTAAACGATCTAAAAGACACAAAGAAGTCGTGTTGAAAACATCTTACATTAGAGTTTATAAACGAGGGAAAAATGAACACTTTTAGGTGTAACATGATGCTTTTTGTTCTCTAATGCGATCATGTTTCAAAATAGATTCAGACTGCTCTAAAGGTGGTTATTATGGAATAACTAAAATCTAGCTGCAAATGAGTACTCGATAGTAGTGAACTATGCAAAAAGACGGTGATCATTGTAAATATATTAATTCCAAATATGAAAAATTGACTTGGAGGCAAAAATTAGAACATCTATATTTTATTCTTGATGATCTGTTTAAACTTCACACATCGTGACTTCATCTGGAAAATTTTACCCAGCTCACCCACAATCGATTTACCTTCACATGATTTTCCGAGCAGATTTTCAAAGCCACAACAATTACCCGAAACATTCCGCACTATTAAAAGGTTAGGATTAGGGTTAGGGTTAGAGTTTAAGTAAGATTATATGTAAAATTGTCTTCCCATAATTTTTATTAGTGCTAAACGTGAGGTTTAAACACCTGTTTCCCCTATTTTTTGCATTGTTCATTTACTTGTGCGAATTTGTTTTGCCGGGTTGATCATCAGAGTTCGGGAAAATCACGCGACGGAACAATCGGTCGTGGGTGAGCTGGGGTAGTTGTAGTTTCCTGAAAATACTGTATATTAATAAATTATTACTCTTATTGCTGATTTTGGACTTTCCGGCCGAGCAGACATGAAAAGCCTGATCGAGAAATTTACGGCGTACTTCCTTATATTAGTCCAGAGGTGTTAAATAGAAATCCATACACTGATATTTATAGTTGAGTACGAAATTGCAACTGTTGAATAACCATTTTGTGAGCAAAGTCATGATATATATATCTTGTATCAGACATTTATAAAGGAGTATGACCTACGATACCAAATACTATTCTCGGATGATGCAAATTTATTATTGAAAAATGTTGGGATTCTATTCCAGAGAACAGACCAATACCAAAGAACTTTTAGACTTTATCTACTCTTTCCGGTCAGAAATTATTAGAAACCGAATACTTTGCATTGGCAGTACTACAGTTCCTAAAAACATGCAGAATTAAAAAGTGTCTTAAACTAGAAGGGCAGAAATTAGAAGAACTTAATAAAGTGATGAAATTGCAAAAAAAGAGTTCCTACAAATGTAAACAAAAAACAAGAAATCAACTCAAATGCAGTTTATATCAGTCGAATTTTTATTACAAATTAACCAACGATACAGGTATATATTATTTTAAATTGATCATATTGACATTTCATATTAAATTCTATTAATATTGTATAATCCAAGTTATATTAATATTATTTTTCATAATTTCTTAATTGATTGCTTTTATTTCCTTGATATTGCAAAACAGATTTTGAGTTTAGTATACCATATGAAATCAGAGAATAAAAATATTTCAAGTGCCTTACAAGAAAACTACAAATTCATAACAAACACTTCCAGTGAAATAAGTAAAATACATCATTTTTTGTTGCCAAAAGATGGTAACTACTTTTGTTTTATTAACCGTGTTTTAAGTTAACGTTTATTTACTGCATTCATATTCTTTAGTTGATACAGAATCTCATGACATATAGTGATCGATAATTCATTCAATTGCATAGTTTATATAATAACGATAAACCACGCGATGCCAGATATCAGATCAAAACCATAACATAAGCTGTGATTTTGATCTGATATCGCATGGTTTATTTATTTTACTCACGGAGCATAACGTCCCGTGATAATTAAAATACATTGTTTGATATTATCATTATATGTAGAAATAGTCAATGTTATAATATTATTAGCATATCCATATTTATTACTAAAATTAAAAAAAAAACGTTACATTATTCATTCTTTGATTCTGACGAAAAATTAAAATCTCTTTCAAAATTAACCTATTCTATGGGTAGTGTACAAAATTCTTCTTAACTTCGCTTTTACCGGTTTCTTTATTAGAATCCGATCAAACTAATACATGCATTTCAAAGTACAATTCTATAAAAGAAAGTATATCATTACAAGAAATCGATGATTTATCTACAAATTTTAAATTATTTTTCAATTGTACTTTTTCTAATGTAACCTTTCATTTTCATTTATTAATGTAATTATATTCTAATGTCCTATTAATAAAGATCTAATAATTGCTGCTAATTTAATATCGATATTGAATCATGAAGATTATGTTTATATAGACATTCTAAAATTGGTAGTCCTTTCTTTGTCATTTTCGTTATTACGTTCGTTTGCGAAATTGGTATCGTTTACTTACTATGATTATCAGTAAATATTATAATATGTCATACTTTGATTTTGTGTTAAACGAGCCAATTATAATATATGTGCTCGTTAATATACTTTCGTTAGCTATTAAAACCATCAACTCTAAAAAAATAAATTTGATGATTGAATCCGTGTTCTTTGCTGTGCAACTTTTTTTTAGAGAATACAGTATACAGCTGATATATGTAAATAGCTACTAATATTAGTCTTTTCTTACTCTATATGGTATATTTATGTTGACAATACGTAACAATAATAAATGAATTTTTGTTTTATTTTTTTGATACTACAATGCAAGCATCCTATAGAGCGCCAATGAAAAAACTCAAAATTAGAACCACAATATGGGTCAAAACTTCGGATTTGCCATTTCCTTTCAAATTTATGTTCAGTACCCCCAAAAAGTAACACCCGATTTGCATGTGTAACCAAATTTAAAAAATCAATATATCAAGTTTTCTCCCACTTTGATATTCTGTTTACGTTTTACGATACGTTAACATTTTAATAATATTACTGTGAAGAAATGACGTCCACCCGTACACAATTAAAAGAAATTGAAAAAGGGAAGATTCTGGCATATATGGACGAAAATCTGTAATGGCTTGGGAGTGTTTTGTGGGAGGATTAAAAGGACCACTGGTATTTTGTGATGAATACAAAAAAAATAATGAAAAAATAAATTCAG